GATTCTGTATGATTTTATTGTAATTGCAGGTAGCTCTTTAGATAAGGTCTGAAGATCTTTACCAGTTGATTTAGTTTGTCCAGAGCAGAAGTCCAGAAAACAGTTAAATCAGTTTTGGAACCAAAAGTGAAAACCTTAGTGATATTTACGGGAGTAAATAGTAGTGGGGAGGTGGGGAAAAATCAACCTTCAGTTCAATCGAGCACTTGGTAGCTGTTCCCAAAATGTAGTAGAAAAAAGGGGGTTGGGAGTGAATGCATCTGGAGAGTTAGCTTTTTCATTGCTACTGATATGACACTTCATCCAGGGTTTGCTGAAATCCAGTTCGGTTCCTGGTGTGCCAGAGTGGGTGTTAATGGGGACCAGACTGCTGCAGTCCTGTATGCTTTCATAAAGGTCGTATCTACTGTCTCTGACAGGAGAAACCACAGGCGGTGTGGTAGCTGTCAGCTGTGCAGCTTTCATCCTGATGCAAAATCTTGTCTTTGGGACCTGTTAGGTCCATCTTCTGCTGAGGATTCAGGCAACCTGCCCAAGCTTAGACCATTGCAAAAGGTAGGGAGACATGCCTGGCACAATCAGACTGCAGCCCAGGGAAAATGGTGGAAATGTTCCCCAATGCTCAGGGGCCTGAAAAGTGACCGGTGTTCTGGGCCATTTCTGGATACCTATTTATCTGGGTTGGACTCAGCTGACCTGGATGGAGCTGGGCTGTTGATGCTGGGAGTGAACAGCAGTGCAACGTATCCATCCTGCGGTGTGAGGATGTGTTACGCCAGGTAGTGAGCAAGATACTGGGGTTTCTGTATCTGCTTGGTCCTCCTGTTGGTAGATCGACCACTTCCTGCATCACTGGGAGTGCAAACTCTGACACATCTGATGTGTCTTTGCTCCCTCGGGAGGATGAAGTTTTATGTACAGATCTCCATACCACTGTTGCTGACGTTGTTTTACCTGTATACCTGGTAGGTATTTGTGCTTAAGTGAGGCAATTTTTGTTGTCACGTTAATCTGTTTGGAGGAGGCTGGAGGATTTGTGCAAGGTCCGGCTGAAGGTAGTTGAACCCCAGCATCCAGTGGCTACAGCTCTGTCTAGTCCTTCCCTCATTTCCACCCACGTTACTTCACTTTTACTTTTTTCTCATTTTCAGCACAACGTTTCTTCCCTGTGTGCATCAGGTTTACATGTGTGTTCTTATTTCCATGTCACCTTTAATATTATTATAGTAGTTCTTTCGCTGACTTTTGTGTCCCCCATTTAACTCCTCCTTTTCACACCCCTTTTGTTGGATCTATTCTTGTCTCCCTTGGTCTAGGATTGAAATAATGCTTTGATTTTTCAAAAAGTTATGCTTTCTTTAGCCCAGCATGGCAAAAAAACCCACTCCATAGTCTCTTGAGCAGGTTCAGATCTTGCCATCTCCAGGTTCACATCCAGCACCTAGACGTGCGGTGAATGGGATCCTAGTGATGCACGATGGTCATGGGATGTGTCTTTATAGTGCCTGACCTGCTGTGACAGCATCATCTAATTCTTTATTTTGTTAGCTGTGAGCTGTGCAAGAGTGGTGTTCCTGGGGAGTTCAGTGTCGTCGCTGGAAAGGGCTACTTTGGGAACCAAATGACTTAAATGATGCAATGGATTGATTTCTTCCTCCTCCCGCCTGTCCTGATGAGTGTACCTTGTTCAGGACCATGTTTTTGTTTGGTTTGGTTTGTTTTGGTTTGTTTTGGTTTGAAGATGAATGGGCCTGGCCAGCAGGACCAAACTTGGGTCCTTAGGACACAGTGAGCCTTGCTCAGCCTCCACAGTTCCAGGGTTATCCTTCCTGTGGAAATCCATTCGGGATGGCTCCTGGAGCCAAGACAGAGGAGGAGGCCAGGGCAGGAGAGTGCTCAGGTGTGGGGCTGCGACAGCAGGAGCTGGTGACTGGCTGTCCCGTGGGGGGCTTAAAGGATGGGAAATGTCCTGACTAGGGGACAGCACTGGCCCTCTGGCACACAGCAGCCCTGCAGGGGCTCCTCCAAGGCGGTGTGAGCCCAGCTTCACCTTCTTCCTCCGTGTGGCAGAGGCCAGGGCCTTCAGCCTTACCCTTGACAGCTCCCAGGCTGTGGGCTGGGGTGGGCAAGTTCCTTCTGCTGCTCTTTGTTTTCAATGAGAAGTCCCTTTCTTGTCAAGCCTGGCACGTGCTTCACACAAAAATACTGGTTTTGGTGGGTCAGTGCTTACCAGCAAAGCCATTTAAACCATTCTGTGATAGCTCCATCATGGATGCCTTCAGATTCCTGCCAGTCAAACTGTGACAAGGAAAGATAAATAGAAACTGGAGCTAACTAGTGAAATGGGAACAATGGGCCGTGAAGTGTGGTGCTACCATGAGGAAAGTAATTGAAGCCTTAGAAAGCCCCGGTTTTAATATCTCAGCAGATCCCCTGCATTCAGCAGTAGGGTCAATAAACTTTGCCTAAAGCCACATTTGTTTTAGATTGAATACTTTGCACATGGCTCTCTGGCTGGGCTGGTTCCTTTTGTGTCCTTTGTCCCTTCCAACTCTCTATTTTAATTCCAGTGGGAAGCTGCAGCTTTGACCGGGGGATCAGAGCTGGTGGGCTGCAGCATCCCTCCTGGCCACCCTGGTCCAGCAGGCTCTTGGCGCTCGGTGACATACCAAGAGGAGACCCCAGTGCCCAGGGGAGCGTGGCTGGTCGAGGGGAGGTGTTCCTTCCCTCCGGCCAGGGCTGGGCTGCTCAGGAGAGATGCTGAGATCTAGGGAGGTGATGGCTGCCTGCAGCACATGGGTTATGAGGAGCGATTGTGGGAGCAGGGCTGGTCCAGTCTGGCAAAGAGGAGGGTGGGGGACACCCAACAGCAGCCAGCTGGTACTTGATTGGGGGCTGCAAGGAAGCCACTTCTTGGTGCTGGCAGGCCACATGTAACGCTGGACAGCAGCCACAAGTTGCTGTTCGGGAGGTTTGGATTGGACATCAGGACGAGCTTTCACCTTAGGCAGCTGGTGCAGCTGGGAGCGGGTCCCTGGGGAGGCTGTGCCATCTCCATCTGGGAGGTTTTGGAGACTGAGCTAGGGAAAAGCAGGGCTGGCCTCGTGCCATGTTGGAGATAATTTGTCTTTGAGCACGAGGTTGAGAAGAGACCTCCGGGGGTCCCTTCCAACTTGAATTTTGCCCTCTTCCAGTTCTCCGTGGTGGTGCTGTGAATGAAGGCTGTGTGCCTACATGATCGGTGACTTAATGGGCTTTTGAAATCTGTGTTGAGCAACTGCTCAAGAGAGCAAGAAAAAGAAACTGTGTGGGAGCAGGTGGATTTTTTTAGTAGAGTGCATGACTGATAATGTTCCTTAAAGTGGTCAGGGAGCCTCATGAACGCAACCGTATTTACTGTATAGCAAAAAGCATTTATTATTTGTTAAACGCTTAGGACCAGATCCACTGCTGTGATCCAGCAAGTATACACTGCTCTGGCAGCATGAAGTGTCTGTAAAATCAGCTTAATTGGCTGATTAATCTGGGTTTATAGATGCTTCATTTTGCTGGGGTGGTGAGGAGCAGCCAGGAGAAAGAAGGTGCTGAAGTCCATGTGTTTAAACTGGTGATCTGTCTCTCTGTAGGCAAAATGAAAAGGCAAGGTTTACCATGCTGAGCTGCGGCCCAGTGTTTCAGCAGCAAAACAGAGTTCCCTGGGAGTGTGCAGTTCTCTGCATATGTTATACACCTCATCAGCACTGAAACCTTCTGTTTCTCACAGGGATTTCAAGGGAAGCTCTGCAAACGGCTTTGAGAGTTGCTATGAAGTAGCAATTAAAGTAATGTGTTTAAGTGCTGTCAGGAATAAATTTGAGCTCCTGAACTGGTGCTGGAAAGAAGATCTCACTATTGATAGGGGTTGCTTTGGTGCGTTGTCTTCCACTGCCTGTCCAGGTCTCTGGCAGCTGTTGCTCTCCCACTCGCTTGTCTCTTGACGTTGCTGTGATTGCAGTGACTGGCTTGGCCAGCGAGTGAGAGGGTTTGAATACAGGGTGTAACCTCTGTGTGGGCAGGCTCACGCGACCTTGTACTTGGTGGAACGGCATTGCTAGAAGAGACTGAGAGAGACCTGCTTTGAGCATGAAATGTAGAAGATAAGAGGCAAAAATCGCTACAAGTGTGGGAGATCTCAGTCCTGGCTGGTGCTGCTCTCAGCTCTGCTTCCAGCGTGCGCAGTAGCGTGGTGCAGGTCATAAGCAGTGGAGAATGCCACAAAAACTGGAGATGCAATCCAGAGCAAACAAGCTGGTTGCCTGAGTAATCCTTGCATCAGTGTCACTTCTTAAAAGAACGCTGCTAACTTGGTAGCAAATGTAAAAATAAATGACTTACATAAGGTACCCGTCGCAGTGCTGGATGCTCAAGGGATCATATAATGGGAGTCCGAGAAGTCAAGAGTTGAGGCATGTGCAGAACAGACCTGTTAAATATGAGGCTGTCAGAGAGCAGAACCATTAGATGGGTTTAGGAGAAGAGAACCTGCTTTTAATGTGGATTACTTTCCAAAATAAAGTTTTAAAATAGTGAAACTGTTCTGTGCTTCATTTTACACTGACCTTCAGCACTTGCCAAAAAAATAATGTACTGGTGTGCCTGAACTAGGGAAAGTAGATTTAAAAAAAAAAATAAAAAAAGGAAAAGATTAAACAGGAAAGCTACAAGACATCCCCAGTTTCTGGCAAGGGTCCTTGTATTACGATACATTTTCACTTTCGGTGTCTTGCACCAGTCTGTCTGAAGAGCCTGGGAAAAGATGCTACAGAGTATTGTCCACCCCGCTTGGAAAGCTTGTTACTGCACTTGGCTTTTGTAGCAAAATTAAAAACCTGTAAAATTGTGCCCTTTATTCTTATTAATTTAAGAAATGTGCTTGCAACAGACATATGTGGACTGCTCTATGCCATGTACTTCATAATAACTGTGCTGGTTTTTTTTGTGTGTTTGCTTATTTTTTGAAGAGAAGGACATGCCAAACAGACCTCTGAGAGTGCGCGCCCTGTCTCCAGATGGCAAGATATCTTTTCGGTGGAAGCCCCCTTATGGAGCAGGCTTCAGGGGTCCGCGCAGCAGATCCCAAGGTTATGTCCGTGGGTACGGAGAGAGCAACCGAAGGATGAGCTATGCTCCGCTGCTGCAAGAGCGACAAAACCAGGAAGCGAGAAAACTAAGTGAGTCCGATTTCCCTGATAGCATCGAGCTGAGCTAGCACGCTTCTGTAATCCCTGTGGCTGCTAGGTGGTCACAGATGACATGTTACTGCAGCCATCAAAATGACTTCTTCCTATAAATGAAAAGGGTTGCTATAATTGCATTGTGTAACAGAAAAATATGATGACCAGGGTAGAAAGTGTAGCAGAACTTGATGCTGTGTTAAAGAGGCACCGTGTGAGTTACTCGTATTAATAGCAGGGAGTAGGGCAGGGGAGACGAAGCTTAGCTCAGATTCTCCTTGCATGCTGTGGGGCCATTCTTAAATCCATTCTTTCTTGTCTTCTTCTTACACTTTGTGTCCCTACGTTACTTCAGACCGTGGAGAAAAAATTACTGCTTTTAATAAATGTATCCATGCTTACCATTAAAACTTTCATGGGCTCCGTCCTAGTGTTATGCTTGTGTGTCCATGTTCTCTCCAGTTCCTTCATGAGGTCCTGGTCACTAGGGGCTCCTGAAGCAGCCAGGCTGGCCCCTGCCATGCTCCCTGCCCTTCTGTGCTGTGATGGTTTGCACTCATGCCCTAGATCACTCATGCCCCTAGATCTTTGTGGGTTTTGTATAAAAAGCACATCTTTATCTCCGTTTCTGTAAAGGGAGAGAACTCGTCAGTCACCTTTAGCAATTATTCCACCTTTTCCTAACAGGAATCTCGTACTTGTTTCTCATCCTTCTCTAGTACTGACTTTTTCATCTTTCTGTGCACTGCTGGTGGAGGGACCGCTCAGGCGTCTGTGCTGAGGTGGCAGCGTTGAGATGTGTACATGTGCAGGATGCTCCCCTGTTTGTTTGATGCTCTGCAGGATGAGAGCCTGCCCAGGCAGTACCGGTGTCAGTGGAAATCTTGTCACAGACTTAGTGGGAGTTCAGTAATGGACTTACTCCTGATATGAAATACTGTGTAACGTGGTTTGGAGAACATCTTGTTTGCATTACTTTTACAGTATGTTTTTTAAAAAGGGAGAACAAATTTTGTTTAAATAATCAAGTTATCAGGAGAGGAACTCAATCCTAGAATATAGGGCTCTTGTGATGGTTTTTTCATGATAATAGTTTGCTTTCCTGCTTCTAAAATACAAATTTTACTGTTCTTACTGCATGCATATTGAAATCTTTGATGTAAATGTTGTGAATCTAAATAAATTGTCTATTAAGGAAGCTTCCCCTTTTCTAGCTCAGAAAAGAGTAAACCAGGGTTCTGCCTGAAGAGACTGATTTTTATTTGCAATGAAAAAGGTTACAGGAAAGCCTCTTTTTTTTCCCCACATGTACAGCCTCTGAGTCAGTTCATGTGGTTTCGCTGCCATCAAGGAGCTCCCAAGGACGGAGCCAACCTGTCTATAGGTCATCTTTAACTAAAAGGAAAGTCACAGGTATGTTTCTTGCACATCTGCTGTCAATTCAGAGAGGCATTTGACTGCAATGAGATAGCTCTGTGATTTTCAGACTGCAAGTCCTGTGGTGCTGGAGCTGCTAGGTCTTTCTCTGCATTAGAGCTTGATGGACATCTCCGGTTGCTTCTCTAATTCAAGCAAGATTGATGAAATGATACAACTCTGCAACACGGTTGGTTGGGTTTCGGTTGGGTTTTTGTTTTGGGTTGTTCGTTTTTTTTTTAATCTCCTCCTCTATAGCTCTTGGCAAATGTTCTGCACTGCAGTAATGGCATGAGAAGGCATGATTAAATCAAAGCCAGGACCTCCACAATGGTGTGTCTTCTTGTCAGATCTCCACCCCTTTTCCTGAAGAGTTGATTTCCAGAATCCTGAACCTGGTCAGCAAAAGTTTTAACTTTCTTTTGGAAAGAAGGCGTTACATGCTGCTGCCAAGGTTAAAAAGAATTGAGTGAGATTCTGAGTTATCTCCATGCCAGCGCCAACTTCTCACCCCCTCGCATTGCAACGAGAACATCGTGAGGGTGGTGGAGTGTTTTGGGTATTTTGATGGTGATGGAGAACACCTTTGTCAGAACTGGGAACTGTGGTGTATTGAAATCCCACCTCACATCTTTCTGGAGAGGTGATGCCATCCACTTCTCATACTCAATTTCTCTCTTTAGGTTCTCCCATTGCAAAACTTTATAAATAGGTCCCCTAAGCCACTTCTGAGTAGTAGATGGGTGCTCTCAGGCACTTTTGTGTACTAGCTGTTTGGCTTGGAAAACCTGGAAAAACTCTGATGAGCAGGTAGAAAAAGGAGCCTCATCAAAAAAATCAAAGTAGTTTAACTTAATTTTAAAGTTTTATAAATTATTTGTGAAAGATATTCTGATATGTCAAAACAGTCCACTTCAGTGATTTTATTTTTTCTTTCAGTGTTTTTTTTTATTTTTGCCTTCTATACCATAAAAAACCCGAAAAGCTGAATTCAGACAACCTGTTTGAAATGCTCAAAAATGTGAAGTATACAGAAATTCTCCCTTGTGAAGAATTTTTTGTAGCCCTTTGTTTTATTGCCCTTCAAAGTGAAACCAAATTTTAAAATATGAGAATTTTTCATAAAGCAAAATTTCTGCTCTCCAGGAACTGTGGGAATTGATAGAATATTTAAGGACTGTGCAATATATTAGTACTCTGATCTTGTAAGCAGATAGCTAACATAAGAAATTATTTTGCCGTGGGGTACAATCAGTAATCAATGCACTTGGTTTACCACTACCATTATATTTGTTATGCATCTGTGCTGTGTGCATACTATTACATCAGTTGAAGACAGTGACTGTTTTTTATGAGACCTCCAATATCTTGCTGTTAATATGCTGCTTTGTTTTGCCATTCCAGAGGAGGAAGAGGTGGAGGTGCCACAAGACATAACTGTTCGAGTTATGTCCTCTCAGTCTGTGCTTGTTGCTTGGACAGACCCACTGTATGAAACACAGAAGGTTGCAGCCACTAGGTAGTAGCCCTGTGTTTTCTTTTCTGAATGCATACTGAAGGTGAACTGCTGCCAATGCACTGCTGATCGGATTTGCATTTATTTAATTACAGTTGGTTATGGGAATAATTTAGCTTAGGGCATAAGAATTTGCCTATCCCTGCCTCTGGCAGTGGCTGGTGGGAGATGCTTCAGAGCAGCGGTTAGAAACCTGACGTGGGTGGATCTGGGGCCATGTACCCTTCTTGCCTCCCTGTGCCCTGGTCTCAAGTATCTGGAGATCTACAGGTGTTTAGATCCCTTCTGAAATGTCAGCACCAACCTGGGATATTTTTGCTTCGAGATGACCATACCACAGGTGAAGGGAGCATCGCCCATCAGTGCTCCCTGTGTACAGTGACCCTCCAGAAACCCAGTGCAGCTGAGGCTGGGCAGGTCAGGGTCTCCCATGAGTGGGACAGCTTGGCTCGCAGCAGCTGGAGACCAAAATAAACAGAGAAATGGGTTGGAATATGCCAAAGGTCTGAAAGCACCAGACTGTGTTGCTCAGCCTGGGAACAGTGAAGGGCTGTGCAGCCCAGTGCTGAAATACCCCAAGGGGTGCAGCAGGAGAAGAGGTAATTCTACACGTTCTCCATTTCCTTGTGGTAGCGGTTATCTGGGCAGACACGTGGGAACTGATCTGCCAGTGCTGCTCTGGGAGTGAGGGGCTCGCAGCCGTCTGGCCATGCTCGTGGCCCTGGGGCGGTGGGATGGTGGCTTCCTCCCAGGGCAGGGGTGTTTTGAGTAAGAGGCTGGAAAGAGCAGCCAGTCGCTTGAAGCAAAGGCAGTCGGACTGCATTAGAGGAAGGCAGATGCTTAAAAGATGCTGGACCTTGGTGGTGGTAGTACCTTGTTGTTTGCATTTTGGTAGGTTCCCCAGTAAACCCCAGCAGGCTAGATGAGGAGAAGACAGCCCCGTCCTTCTCTGGTTCTGCTACTGCTGTCTTTCAATATATGAATTTTTATTTTGATATATGATTCTATGATTTCTGATCCCAGGCAATACAGTGTTCGCTATCGGGAAAAGGGGGAATCGGCAAGGTGGGATTACAAGCAGGTGACCAACCGGCGGGCACTGGTGGAGAATCTGATGCCAGACACGATGTACGAGTTTGCCGTCCAAATCTTGGAGGGAGGAAAGGAAGGCAAATGGAGTGTGTCTGTTTACCAGCGGACCCCAGAGGCGGGTATGTATGCAAAGGTCCTTGGAGTGACGCAAGTCTTAGGGTTTAAGCTGTGAAATAAGGATGACTGGAGGGAAAGCCGGAATAAGTATTTGCCCGGGGCAGCAGAGGGTTGGGAACATGGGAAAAGCCCTGGTGCTGCTGCCTGCGTCCCTGCAGCAGTGCCCTGGAGAGCACATCAGAGCTGCTCTTGTGGTGCAGTGAGAACAGGGGGAGATGGTTTGGGTATTTTGGGGATAGGTGAGCAGCTTGGACCCCCTGCAGCTGGCTGTGCCCCTTCCTTTGAGAGGAGCATCCTGGCTGCTGTCGCTCTCTGTGGGGGGCATTCTGCCTCCACCGTGGTGAAACCGTGAGGCCCCTTTGGTGCAGGGAAGTGGTCCGTAACAACCGAATTACCGTGTCTTTCCGACTAAGCCACAGCAGCAGTCTCGTGCAGGCAGCCTGTTCCTGAAAGTATGGAATAAAATTTCACGACAGGAGTCTGATACAGAGGTGTAATACAGGCACGCATGGACCTAAGCCGTGTGTGCTCTTCACATTTGTCTTTGAAATGGCCATACAGGAATTTCTGCTGTGAGAAGAAGGAGTGACAGGTGTATGCTGCGTAGGTCGACTTTTCTTACTTGCCTCTTCTGCGTACGGTTGTTTCGCAGCTCCTTCCAGCGCACCTGAAAATTTGGATGTTTGGCCATTAAAGGGAAAACCAACCTCAGTAGCAGCATCCTGGGATGCTCTCCCAGAGAGTGAAGGAAAAGTCAAAGGTAAGTCATCACCATCGGTTTTCAACCCCCTCAAGGACCTGGTCTGCTCAAAGCCAGACTGCCGCTCCACAGCAAGCTGGGACTGCTGACTGTGCCAGGATTTTTGTACTTGTTAATGGCTTATACCCCAGCAACATTTTCTTGTTTCCAGCCCAGCGCCTCTGCACCACCGCTGGCAAGCCATCGTCACCTGGGGTGTGCCTGGGATGTCACAGAGCTTCCTGGGGTGTCACACATGCATGCTTACCTCTTCTTCCGTTATTAAGCAGGTGGAAACGGAGCTCGAGAAGGAAGTTTCCCAAAGGATTTGTAACAGTTAGGCAAAGAAGGAGAAGTTGGGTAGTTGCCAAGAAAGTGAGTGGGTTTATGTTGTGTTTTATTTCTAGTGTATCACAGAAGGAAAGCCTCAGCTTAGGAAGCAAGCACAAATTTTGACAGAGATCATGCATAAGCCTTGTCTACTATAGCATTATTGTACATGGTTATAAAGCTCATTTCTCAGTGGCTCTTTACTTGCCTAGGATTTGAAAAAGAAAGATGCTGAGATTTTTTTTTTTTTTTTTTTGTCCCTTTTTCCCTCTGAAAATGAACAGGCTGATTTTTTTGGCTGCTCTCTTTCTCCACTGGTTGATGGGATTGTGTTCTCAAGTTACACAGGTTTCTGGAGGTGCCTTGTTAGCACTGTATCATCTCAGGATTTAAAAAACCTTTGGCCTGGAGGGAAGTGTACCGTGTCTGCTTAACAAGACCTACGTGTTCTTCAGGGCAGCAGTGGAATTCGTTCCTCTTTGAAGTCAGTGGGAGTCTTGCCAGTTGCTTCAATGGAGCTGCAACTGTGTCCAAGAATTATTATTTCTTAAAATAGGGTCAAGCAGGGACATTATCTGAAATTTCAAATCTGCTCCTAATTTTGAGCAGTCTGTAGCCCTTTGTCCATTTTTGTCTGCTGATCTTTAGGTGATTCATCCAAGGCAATTGTTTTAAAGACACCTGATACTCAAGCTGAATGCTTATACGTGTCTAATGTATCATTCTTTTTCTTGAATATGAAGTATTACAGGAGCGGTCTTATTTTTAAACTAAATAAGTGACAAAAATGATATTTATACTGGCTAAATGAAATTACTGAATTAGCACTTCATAGTCATTTTGATAGCACATGGTAATCAGGAATTTTTGTCTTTTGGTCCTTTTATTTTTCAACCCTGTCCTTTTGTATATTTATACCACATATTAAAGTAATGGAGAAGATGCCCTCCATTAGCCATTTGAGAGTTACCAGAAGTTAAATCGGTGCCTCTGCAGTTAAAGCAACTCCTGTGTATATTAAAACAAACAAAACCAACCCAACCAAAGCTTACCATGCCTTCTGATACATTGTGGTTTTTTCAACTGAACATTAAATGCATTTGCATATAAAATATTTATGATTTTTTTCTTGATTTTGATGACCTATGGCTTATTTCTTATCACAGTGAATATGGGCTAATTTTCAGAAAAATTAAGTTTCCTGTTTTTAAAGGTGTTATGTTCTAGAGTTTTCCCATCATGGCACTGTGACTCCTCAAGTGTTGTCTTTCTTTGTGTAGAGAGAGAAAACTGGCAGCCCTTGGAATTTGTTTTCAAACCCCTGTTTTGGTCCAATACCTGTGCCTCTTACAGAGGATTGCAAAGAAAAGGAAGGCTGCAGATGGCTGAGATCTTACCAGCACTCCTTGGGAGTGTAATGGGAAGACTCCTCTGCATGCCTACGGTTATTCCTATAGGGATGAAATTCCTCTCAATACAGAAAGCTAATACAGACCATAGGTACCACAGTAATCCTAAACTGAAAGGCGAGAGAAGGGTGAGTTTCTCAAGTGGCAACAAGACCATGCTTTGCTGTCTCTGCAGTGGGGTTTAGCCCTGGCTGTAGTTAAGCACAGTGTGTCAGATTTCAGTATTGTTGGACAGGCACGCTATTGCTACCATTTGGCAATATACAGTGCTGTTAATTCCTGGTAGAAGTATCTTTTCTGAATAAGAATTTATCATCCAGGCATGAGTTTTATCTGCTGGCCTGCAGATTACAGCTAAAACCGCTCTAAGGAAGGATTTAGCTGGAAACACTTACATTTGACCGCAGTAATATTGTTTCCAAGATTGACGTAAGTGCTTTGGTGTTTTCATGGGGTTGCCCCTCAGGCTCCAGCATGGCTGAGGAATGAGTACATGGCCTTTGGAGCTGGTAGAGTTTCACCACAGTGGACTGGCAGTGCTGCTTTTGCATGACTAGGGTCTTAAAGTACAGTGCAATTTTAGCTGTGTCAAGGCTCTGTTGGAAATGTAGGATAAGAAAGTCATTAACAGTAACGAATAATGTCACCTGATTTAAATACTGACGTCTTGAATTATAATTATGTGAATGCACCATTTTGTTCTTCTGCCAAATAATTTCTGTGGGAAAGAAAATTTTTTAACATTCTTATTTGCTGTGGACATAGCTATAGACAGCAATGCAATTATGTGTTGTCCACCATTGTGAGCAAGTTATGTTTTGCAAGAATATTCCCTGGATCATGTGTTGTTTATTGTAAATATCTTGGTAGCCAATCAGTAAGTTCAAACTTCCTCTTTTTCTTGGGACGTCTAAAATCTGCTTGCAGTCCGTCAGCCGTAACAGCACGTGTATTCTGATTTTAGCAATCTGCACTCCCTAACGTTTGCACAGTCTTTCAGACTAGATTTCCACGAGTAGTAGGCTGTGTGTATTTTTCTGGTAACGTTCATACATGCTTTCTGCCTCCAGTGCATTTTCTGTTTTTAGGTTTTGTCTGTTATTTCTGATTTAGGGCAGTTAATTTTTTCAGAGCACTCATTTTTTTCCCTTTATTAGTTATTGTCCAAAAACAAAAAAAGTCTCCTGGTGCAGCACACCAAACCACGCAGTAGTTGGTGCTGTAAGTTTCTCATGCCCCCCACACCTTCTCTGGAAGTGCACATGGCTGTTGTCCGGCTCCTCTTGTGACTCTTCACTCTGGTGGGCATTGTTGCTTAAGTGTTTTTCCAAAGGTATAGATCACATATTCTATCTCAGTCATTAGGTCATTGATGTGATTTGTTTTTGTCTGTTAAGATGAACAAACGTTCAACTTACCTAGATATATGTGCATATATCTCTCTCTTATGTCTTTGTACTCCAGCTGTTGACTTGGCGTGCATTGCTAGTGTATTAATTTTAGTAATGCACGTTCTAATTCATCCTACCCATACAGTCTGTCCGCTGGAAACAGGACTGTTTTCAGTTTCCTCCTTCCAACCGTCTGCCAAATCATTTCAGAATACATTCTTTCATACGCCCCGGCTCTCAAGCCATTTGGAGCAAAGTCCATCACCTACTCTGGAGCTACAACATCAGCCATAATAGATGGTCTGCAGGCCGGGGAGCGCTATATTTTCAAAATTCGTGCAGCGAACAGGAGGGGACCAGGTCCTCAATCTAAAGCCTTCAGTGTTGCCATCCCAGCAGCAGGTGAGCACCAAGCCATGTACCAATTGCATAGTCTGCCCATTCTTGCCTTGGTCTCAGTTATGTTCATTCTCACTGACTAACCTTCCCCTGCACTCCATCTAACCCATGGGTTTTTACTTCTTTAATACTGTTTCTTTTAGCTCTTTTCATCACTATATTGTCCAAAGAGATGCTTGTAGAGAAACATTTGTCACTCTGCAGCATGTAAAAGGACATCTTATGGACATTTTAACATCTTAAATGCATGTCATGATGTATTTCCTGCATGAAAACACTGTGTGGTCTTGTTATCCAAAGGCCAAAGAATACAATGCTTTGGGTCTTTGGTTTCACTATTCCTGACCACTCCCCCTCTTGAAAGTCACTTAAAGCGGCTTACTGAGATACTACTCCTTGCCTTTGCTTCTTGACAAAAAGATGCTGTTGTGGGGACAGAAGATTTGCTGACTTAACTAAAAATGTGGGCCACAGCCTCAGATGGGATAATGCAGTACCATGCCATCAACATGCCTAAGCTCTGCTTAAGGCTTAATTCCACTGATAGGATGTTGCAGACCCTGCTTTTAGATATTTGTCTTTAATTGCTCTAAGTTTTACCCAAGGTGTAATAATTACACATAGGTACCTTCCTACAGCCCAAAAATTACTCAGCCAGACTCCACAGGCTGGTTAATACAAAAGTAATTATTGTTGCATATTCTCATAAGTTGTTTTGTTCTTGCTACCTGGCTGGTTTCTTTTGGTCAGTTTTTTGTGCTTTTTCTATTGTTGTGAATAAACACTTTTTCCCCCCCCAGCTGCTCATGAGGATTTAGTTGCTCAGCAACAAACAAATATTCAAGCTAATTCAGAGGCTAAAAAACGTGGGAATGCTGGCTCATCTCCTTCTCAAACTTCTTCTGTTTCTTCAAAAGCCCAGCCATCGCTTTCATCTAAGCAGTCGTCTATTCATTCACCTAATGTTAGTGATAAAAAGAGTCTTCTTTCTGAATATAAGAATAAAATCTTGACTCGAGGGGTCATAAATAAGTCTCAGTTACCTTCTAGAAAGACAGGAGAGCTGGAACCTGATCTCCAGTCCACTGAGGTGACAGATGACAGTGATTCCTCCCAAGAAGCTCCAACGACACCACCAAAAGCCCAGGATCAGAGGAGAAATGTTAGACCCTTGTCCCCTAGTCGGACGGTCCACCCTGTCCTTGCCCTAGGGAAGACCCCCGTTCGAACCCACACATCAGAGATGTCACAGCAGACAAGCACAGAGAAACGTGAGCCACCAGCACCTTTACCGTCCTCAGCACAACGCTCTTCTGCCTCATCTGTTCCTAAATACACAGATAACGAAACAAAGCAACTGAGGCAAAGCAACGCTAATGTGCCTTCTAAAACTTCTTCTCATCCTCTGCCTTCCAAAAATAATGATCTTGCGGGTAATGTGGAAGGAAAGCCAGACCCCATGCCAGTGAAAATGTCTTCTAAAACTTCAGAGCTTAGTCACCTGGCTTTGCCGTCAAATCGGCAGTCTCCTGTCTCTCAGGAGGTTGTCCGAAGCCATCCCAGTAGGTCTGGCTCTCTGGGTCATTCACATCAACCCTCTTCCAAATCAGCAGATTCCCATGCTCGTGATCACCATAATGAATTTGACAGTGAAGAAGCAGAGGACAGAGCGGGACAGACCAATTCTAGATTGCAGCAAACAAGGCTTCCCTCAGGCTCCAGTTCTCGGACATGGAAGGATTCAAAATTAGCTGCGGTGGCAGCCTCATCGAGGTCTGCTGTTACTGGTCACACTTCACCTCACTCTCGCTCTTCCACCAGTGTGAAATCTGATGGAAAGAATGTTGATAAGAATTATAGGGAGGACTCACAAGATGCAAACCCTTTATTTCCTTCTCTGCCCTCTTCCAGGCAGTTTTCTTCAGCAATCTATTCCAAGAGAAGAAATCCTCAGGTTGATTCTGATTCTCAACTCAGAGAGACACGTGGTGAAAAGTCACCCCGCTCTGACTCAGAAGAACAACAAAGTCGAGTGGCTGCTCCAGAAAAGCATTCTCTTTTGCAATCTTCTCTTTCCAAACATAAGCCTGTAGAGCAGGACAGTCAAGAGGTAAAAGAAACGCTTGCTCGATCAAAACCGAGTTTATCTTTGCCTAAAAAGACGATCCCCTCTCATCTTCCTTGGGAGAAGACCTCCCGGTCAGAGCCTCCCCAAAGGGCACAAACGAGTCCTTCCTTACTGCATTCAAGGGGCCGGCGCCTCCCATCTCACGTCTCATCTCAGAGTAACGAAGAATTGCAGGAGGATGATGATGAGGACATAACAGAAGGCAGTGACAGAGCAAGCAGCCACTCTGTGTTTCCTAAAGAGGTGTCCTCTTCCAGGGGATTACCTACATCTTTCTCTCAGGGAAGCTCAAGTTCATCTCTCTCAAAGCAACAGCAGCCAGGTTCTCAGGTACCTTCCTACAAACCAAAACTTACTCAGCCAGACTCCAGTTCTGCCCGTGATACATCAAAAGAAGACCAGTATAATCCGAGGTTGTCATCCACTTCTTCGAGACAAGCTCGTCCTTCATTACCTACTCGCTCAAGGGTCGCTACAAGAACAGTGTCCCAAACAGAGAAAAAATATGGCCCGTTGCCCTCAAAAATGTCCAAAGCTGAACTTCCTCGAAAAGTTCCTTCCTCTTCTTCATCTAAATCTCATCAATCAGTTTCTAATGAAGAGGATGATTATTACAGTGAATATGATCCGAAAGAAGTGGAAGAGAAACCCACATCTTTGGCAGCAAAATGGTCCCCTTCTGTTTCTAGAGGTAACAAAAACACATACGATGACACTACTAGCAATAAAAGGAAATCTATGGACACTCTTCAGCCTCACAAAGTAAGCTCTGAAGAGGAAGAGAAGGAAGAAATTCCAACATTTAAAATATCTTCTCCTGAATCACCAGGAGGCTCTGCCATAGCATCACGGATTACACAGTCCTCTAACAAGCACACCCCATCTAAACCAAGCTTTGTCTGGCCACGTTCTTCTGCATCTACCACCACACACACTGTTTCTCCAGCAGTTTCTTCTTCCACTTTGTCGCCTCGACAGCGACTGTTGAACTCCAGGCTACGGAGCCCTTCCCAGCGGCAATTTGTTAGACCTCCTTATAGACAAGGTACCTTGTCTTTGTTGTTGTAACCTCATTGAGTTGTGTTTTTCCTAAGACCAGCAGTTAGATGAAAAGTCTTGCATCAGAATGCAGGTTCAATTTTTAGTGTAATGTATTGCTTTTTATTTTGTCTGGAAGCCTCAGTTCTTGAGGACATTGCCTAGTTGGTGTAATGTGGATTCCCCATGTCACCTATGGAGAATCCCAGAGACTCTGAGTGACTTTGCTAGGTAGAAATGTTTTTTCTCCCTCCAGTGCATGGACATCCAAAATAGTATTGAGTGACCTGAGTGTTTCGGTAAATACCTTCTATGCTATGTGTAGATAGCAATGTTTTGTTCAGTGTTGCCTGTGTTCTGTAGTGAGGACCGTGCAGCTGGGCTATTGTTTTTGCTGTGCTTTACTCAGACTCAGTGTTGTGTAGAGGTCCACTGCCTTGCAGAGCTTTAAGCTAAGAGTGGACGTTAAGTAATACCATGGTGGATGAGATGCATGGCCTGAAAGAATAACAGATTTCTCTATGGAGGTTATATCCCAGCTTACTGCTAGCCATGCAATTGGGACGTTAATAGCTGAGAAGCGTTCAGTCAATATACATTTGTAGTTAATATATGTATATATTTTCATATATATATTTTTCTAGAGGAAAGTCTCTGAGCTAGGATGTGAAAACTGCAGAAACATTTCAGACGCTTGTGTCAGCTGTGAGGATCTGACAGTATCACAACAGTTGCTCCAAGCAGAAATTAAATCCCTGGTTTGCCAAATGTGGTGAGGGCTCTTTCTGCTCTCATTTATGTCCAGATCTGTCAGAAAATGCATTTCTTTGCATTTTAAAATCTGGTTTGTAGTATGCACAGCCTTCTTCAGAATAGTGTGTTTTCTTCTCTGTTTCAGGTTACAATGGCAGACCTAATCTTACAACAAAAAACGGAAATGGAAATGGAAAAATAATACCTGGTAATAATGGAAAACCAAGTGGACAGAGAATAATCAATGGCCCTCAAGGAACAAAGTGGGTAGGGTGACCTTCTCTCTAAATTCAAGATACTTTGGCATTTTATTGTACTTACATTTTCGTTCAGGAAAGAGAGGAGAGCAGTGCCAATGGAGCTGTAAAGCGATGTACTTAGCGATCTAGTTTCCACTGTTCCATTGAAATCTGATGACAAATTCTGCATTTCACTATTTAAACATTTTAAATGTCTGATTTAAAGACTGATGGCTTGAATTTTTGACTATAGCATTACTCCCATAGATTTAGTGAAACATTTTTTCCTTAAAGTCAGTGAGGCTTGAGCTCCCTAGTGACTCGGGGCTTGTCTGCTGCACAGTGTGAGTGGGGACTGCCCGGATAGCTGCTGTGAAGGACGTGTTCAGCAGCGCTTCTCCCAGACTCACACTCCAGGGAGAAGTTCATGAGCAAGAGTATTGAAATGAAAAGTTACTACAGAAGTGTCACAGTGCTTTAAATATACACGTGTATGTATCTCCAGGCAATTTGCCGTTCATGCAGACGTGTTTCCAGTGGTATTTTCAGAGAAGCTCAGATGCCATTGATAGGAAAGCCCTGCTAGGTGCCTACAAGCCCAGACCTTGTCTAAAAAATCCTTTCCAGTGAGTCTATGACCACCCAACGCAGAGAAGGACCTGGTGTTTCCTGTGTGTTTGCCCAAACACTGAGCAGGAGGAGACTGTGACCAGCCCCCCTGGTGTCCATAGAGCTGCTCACATGCTGCGTGACACATAAAGACATTTATTTGCTGGCCACTTCAACCTTACTGTTTGCATTAGAGGAACACAGAATCACAGAATCATTGAGGTTGGAAAAGACCTCAAGGATCATCAAGTCCAACCCAACACCACCTAGCTCACTAACCCATGTCCCTAAGCACCACATCTACATGTTTCTTGAACACCTCCAGGGATGGTGACTCCACCACTGCCCTGGGCAGCCTGTAACATAAAAAGGTGCGTCAAGTATGTCACATTCAAGGGAGACATTTTGAAAAGCATGCCCAAAGCCCTTTAAATGGACTCCAGAAAGTGGGATGGAAAGGTCCTTGGGAGGCCGTGGGGCATCTCTCTCTACCCCATGAGAGGACGGCACTGCTACAAGCAGGACGAACACTTTGTAAAGCAAGAGGATCTATGTCAACGTCCGGGGTCTGGAGGCCTTCAGAGGCTGATCTCACGATCCACTGTCCCTCCTGCTACAGTCTTTTCCCTGCACCAAATGTGAGTCTGTCTTGCCAGCCTGGGACTGCTGCTCACGTCCTCTTCCCCGTTTCCTCCCAGAACTTAACACCTTTTGCATTTTTGTGTTCTGTGTCTTGGTGTCTGTTCCTCAGGTTAAAACAACATAGAGTTCAGCTATTTTGGGTTGAAGTAGCAATGAGGACTGGATTTTAACTGCAGTTACCTCTTGAATTCAATCCAAGCTCTCAGACAGATTTGTTTTATGAGACAGAGGCTTTTCTTCAGTCTCCTACCTCAATTAAAATCTTAGCTACTTTGTTTTCACTGCTGTTTCAATCTAAATTAACTGGTTTAATTTTTCCTTTTTTTTTTTCTTTTATTAGTAGATATACTTTTAAATCCTGTCTTCAAAAGGACTCAGGGTCATAATCAAATCAGTATTACAGGAATCCACCTTAGGAGTTGTGCAGCCCAAGGAAATCAAGGGAGTTGCTCCTTTGCACATGAGAACTACAGCAGGCAATAGGAATATGGTTGCTGTGCAACTCTGGAGCCCAGCTCCTGGGGATTTGCTTTCTTCAGCAGTGATTTTTCTGTGTTTACTATACAATTAGTGACTCACTTTTAAAAGTCTGTGGATGTTGTAGCTATTCCTGAACATCACACTCAGCATCTGAATTTCCCCAGGATTTCTGTTGCTGTGAAATTTAATTTTACCTCCTCTTGTGTTCACTAAACTTGAGTCCATCTCTCACTTTTAGATTGTAGATCTTGACCGAGGGCTAGTGTTAAATGTTGAAGGAAAATACCTCCAAGATTCCCAAGGCAACCCTCTCCGAGTGAAATTAGGAGGGGATGGACGTACAATTGTTGGTAAGTGACAGATTCCTTCTTACAGAAAAAAATCTACAGTTTCTGTGCACATGATACAAGTCTTTGAGCTGTTGAATGCCTCAGGCATCCCCAGGTCCCATGCAAGCCATTTGCAGTTGCTTGTACGTCGTGTCTCCATCAGGCAGTCAGCACATTGCAGAACCTGGGGAGGCTTTGGGGTGCCCTGTGGGGCTCCAGAGTATGAGGCAGCAAGAATAACCCAAGTCTGTCTCACTTGTATCAGCACTAGAAAGGACTGCAGAACTGAGCCAGAATAAGGGTTGATACTTGGTGTGGTTATTTCATTTTTTTCTTCTGAAACTGACCACAAATAGTAAAAGACCCTGTGTATGATCTGTGAAAACACAGCTGTTTGCTTATCAGTCCACCTGTATAGATCTCTTGAACGCAAATTCAGTGCCTGCTGTTAAACTGGTTACCGTGAATATTTGCAGTATCCGGAATTCAGCACAAAAGTTTATCAGCAGTGACAGCATCTCACCAGCTCGTGCCAGTTTTTCCTTGCACATGTTTGACGTTAGGGAGCAGAATATGGCTTCATCATACCTTCCATCAACAGTTACGAGGCTGACTTAGATTAAACACAGGTACTGTCTGCACATTGTGATTCTAGACTGAAACTTCCCTTCAGTCTTCCCAAGAAGTGTTTAGCAAACAGCTGATAAAAGTGAATACCACTGTGGTTTATCTGGGATTCTTTTGAACCATTTTGCAGCTTCCTTAGCTCTTTGCCAGATAACAACCTTCTTCTCTGTTAGCTTAGTTACAGAAGGCTGTAATCACACTCGTACTGTGGTATCTATTGTTGATAAATACCATACTCTAAGACTGAAATGGATTAATGGTGAGACTTTTTGGTTTTGTTCTTCTCTCCTAGATGAAAAGGGTGCCCCAATGGTGAGCCCTGATGGATTACCTTTGTTTGGACATGGCAGATTTAGTAAACCTGTAGCAAGTGCACAAGATAAACCAATAATAAGCCTTGGAGGGAAACCTCTGATTGGTCTTGAAATGATTAAGAAAACAACCACTCCCTCAACTACTACTACAACAGTACCCCCAACAACTACCACCACAACTACTACAACCACTACAACTGTTGCTACGACTACCACCACCACTCCTGAACCAACCACCACTGAACCACCCACTGAGAAGCCAGCCCCCACCTGTCCTCCAGGCACCTATGCACAGTATGATGACGAGGGCAACTTGCTGTTGGGGTTCGATGGCCTGCCAGAGTGCAATGCAGAAGGTATCTTCCTTTTGTGCTGTTTGAACTTATTTGGTTGTGCTGTAAAGCAGGAAAGAATCTGCCTCTGAAGGTTTTGGTCAATGTGGTAAGATAGGAGCTGAGATTAGAGCGGCTGAAGGAAGGTTTGGGCCTTAAATTTCGTTTGAAAATGTCAACTTTCCCCAAAGCTGAAGCTTTTCTTGGAAATATGTTGATTTCAGCAAAATTCTCACCTTGTGTTGGATCCAGTTCTGTCCCATGTGTTCATGCACATGAGTACAAGTATAGGCAATAGTTTTGTGGTCAAAGCACTCACCTATAATGAAGTCCTCACTCCAGCTCAGGCCAGGGAAGGACCTGAAGGCACTGTACATTTTGTCTATTTTGTGTTCATTTCTGACAATACATTCTGAAAAGTCTCTCTTTTGAGCCATAGTGGGACTGGCTTTTGCAAAATGAGATTCTTATTCTCTTGCCAGCCCTCAGAGATGGAGACTGTCTAGCAGGTGATGGAGACTGTCTTGCAGGAATGTAGCAGAGCGCAGCACGGATGAAGCTGGAGAAAGACAGCTCTGGCTCAGCACAGATAAGGCAGAGCCTGTACACTAATTTCTTTTTCATCTGAAGATATAAAATAGTGTCGGTACATGTAATTATTTCCCTATTGCAGTTATACAAGCTTAGGATGTGGTGCCAAACTGAAATCCAAAGTAAACAAATATAAATGCACTAAAGTCTTTGGGCATTGAGCCTGTTCCTACCGTGTTTTACCCTTTCATCACCTGAACGTTGCATTGCAAACCAGTTAGCTGCTTATTTTGCAAAACCAGATCAGGGAGGACCATGGTAGTCCTTTTCCTTTCCATTTGTAGGTAATCCCCAACTCAATCTACGAATGTTCAGTAGAAGCATGGCCATAACCTAAACAAAGGGATGGCAGTCAGATATCTGCCAGCTGCAGTGGCCAGTTTTAATGGGTAATTAAACGCCCTTACCTTTACCCCATACACCTGTATCTCTGAAGCCACTGTAGATTTACAAGTAGGTCATGTAACCATGGCCTGAGGAGCTGAACTATCACTTTGAAGAGTGCAGAAGACAGGGAAAGATGTGACTTCAGCAACTCACAGTGAGCCTGAGGATGGCATCTTTGGAAAGGATCTTAGAAGCAGAAGACTGAAAATTCACTTATCAGCTACCCTGGGTGAGTAGTGAGTAACAGATGTTACTGCCTTGTACAATTACAATGATTTATAGTATTACTTATCTAACAATTAGCCCCCTGTTTGAGTATGTATTTATAGAAGTGTGCGTGCGTATATACATAAAGCCAAGTGCTGGGTCCTGCACTT